CAAGGCTTCGGTGAATTATGATTGTGCCACTGTACTCCAGCATGGGTGACAGAGCAAGACCCTTTCTCAAACAAAAATATATAGATCTTTAGAATTTTAAAACTGGTGGGGTTTTTCTGCCCTCTCTCACCTTTTCCTCTTTCCCTTCCCGGTGGGTGGAAACAATGTCTCATTCAACCTTACTTTTTTTTTTTTTTTTTTTTGGGGAAAAAACGTCTCACTCTGTCACCTAGGCTGGAGTGCAGTGACACCATCACAGCTCACTGTAGCCTCAACCTTCCAGGCTCAGGTGATCCATCCTTCTCAGCCTCCCAAGTAACTGGGACTATAGGGGCACAACACCATGCCCGGCTAATTTTTTTTGTGTTGGTAGAGACAGGGTTTCAGCTTGTTGCACAGGCTGGTCTCAAACTTCTGGGCTCAAGCAATCTGCCCATGGTGGCCTCCCAAAGTGGTGACATTACAGGCATGATCCACCACATCTGGCCCAACTGTGCATTATTCTTAACTCCAAGCAAAGTGCTTTGCAACATTAAAAGTTTGATAACTAAGGAGTTTAGATTGAATGGGATCATTTTGTCCATTTGATCCTCCTTGTGATTTTTCATTTTTTTCTTGACTTGCAGCTTATTCTTTCACTAATTCCTCCTTTCTATCTAAAAACAAGCTGAGATCTGACTGATTTAAAAAAAACATTTCTAGAAAGACAAGGCTGAATTCATTGTCTCCACTTTTTATCTTTTGACCTTTGCTTTTACTGGTTTACTGAAAACACTGCCTCAGAGATCAATGATCTTTTCACTTGTCTGTCATAGTATCATTTCTCATTATTTTTGCACTCTGTAGAATTTGACAATGATAATTACCCTTTTCTTAATAAAACTCTTTTCTTGGTATCTATGATAGGACACTATGGGTTACCTTCAGTTTTCTTAGTCACTTCTTTGTCTCCTGCTTCCAGCAATGTTTTTTTCTATACCCAGAATAAAGGCTTTATTTCAGCCCTCTGCTGTTTTCTGTCATACCTGCCTTCCGTTTGATAGCTCAGCTGTTATGTGGGTGACTCCCAAGTCTGTGAGCCAGTATGCTTTATAGTACCTAGTTGACCCAGGTCTTCTCCAGACTTTTCCCTACCCTGGTTCATTGTGTACAGTGCTACCAAAATAGTATTTAGCTCTTGTCATGTAACTTTCATGCTTAAAATCCTTCCACTTTATGCTGGCATCTGAGCTCATTTACAATCTGTCCTCGTATTATATTTCCAATCTTTTGCTCTACATGGCTTCCATATTCCAACAAAAATTAGCTTTTTTTTTTTTTTGATATGGAGTCTTGCTCTGTTGCCCAGGCTGCCGTGCAGTAGTATGATCATGGCTTACTGCAACCTCTGCCTCCCAGTTTCAAGCAACTCTTCTGCCTCAGCCTACCGAGCAGCTGGGATTACAGGTGCCTGCCACCATGCCCCGCTAATTTTTATATTTTTAGTAGAGACGGGGTTTCACCATGTTGGCCAGGCTGGTCTTGAACTCCTAACCTTAGGTGATCCACCCACCTCAGCCTCCCAAAGTGCTGGGATTACAGGCGTGAGCCACCACTCCCAGCCTTTTTGTTTGTTTGTTTGTTTTTGTTTTGAAATGGAGTTTCACTTGTGTCACCCAGGCTGGAGTGCAGTGGTGTGATCTCGGCTCACTGCAATCTCTGTCTCCCAGGTTCAAGCATTCTCCTGCTTCAGCTTCCTGAGTAGCTGGGATTACAGGCGTGCGCCACATTGCCTGGCTAATTTTTATATATTAGTAGAGAAGGGGTTTCACCATGTTGGCCAGACTG